TGTGTGTGTGTGTGTGTGTGTGTGTGTTTAATGCATGAGTTCTGCTGTGTTTCTGTGCAGGTTTTGTATGCGCTGAGCTCATCGAGGTGAATGCAGAATGGCCAGCGCAGCAGCCAGCGAGAGTTCAGCTTCATCAGCAGCAAACGGACAGACGGCCGGAGAGAGCAGTAACAGCGGCGGCGGCGGAGCTCAAGACAGCACGTTTGAGTGCAACATCTGTCTGGACACGTCCAAAGACGCCGTCATCAGTCTGTGCGGACATCTCTTCTGGTGAGACCCTGCTGAGTGATGCACACGACACTCTCAGGGATGCTGACTGGGTAATAACTGCTCTGTTTTCTCTCCTCTGTCTGGATCTCCTCCTAGCTGGCCGTGTTTGCATCAGGTGAGTGTTCAGTAAGCGCTGATGGTCATGTGACGTGACCGTTGTATGATTCTCCTGACCGTGTCTCTCTGTGTGTTTGCAGTGGCTGGAAACCAGGCCGAACAGACAGGTGTGTCCCGTTTGTAAGGCCGGCATCAGTCGAGATAAAGTGATCCCGCTGTACGGCAGAGGCAGCACCGGACAGCAGGACCCCAGGTACAGCTCTGTGAGCGTCATCAAATCATATTTGTGTTGTAGAGCTTAGAAATATGACTATAAATCATGCAGCAGGACAAAGTAGATTTTGTCCATCAAGTTCCAAATCAAACGAGAAAATAAAATAATCAAACGAGACAAACCCATTTGATTTGTTGGAGTATACCAAAATAAACATTAATGTGATTTTATATATATATATATATATTTCCTTAACCAGAGTTATTATAGTTAACTAATACTAAAACTGAAACTAAAATTAAAAGAATTAAAAAAGCATTGTTTGAAATAAAATAAATGCTAACTGAAAAAAAAAAACATTTTATTTCAACTAATTGCCAAGGAAACATTTCTCAGTTTAATTTACTTTAACTTGATGTGCTAAAATAAAAAAATAAAACTGAAATAAATAGACATATTTAAAAAAATATAATAATAATAAAAATGACAAAAACACACAACAAAATTACTAAATCTTTAAGTAAAATGAAAACAAAAACATAAAAATAATTCAAAATATTAATAAAAACTATAATAGTATCTCAGTGATACTAAAATAACACTGAATTAAATTAATTTCATAATCGATGAACACAGGCACTGTAATTGATCTGAATAATGACTCTGTTGTCTTCTTTAGAGCTGCTTGACAGCTGAAATCAAATTTGTTTCATAATTGATGAATTTCACAACTTTATCAGTTATTTTCATGTTGATTAACTTGTCGAATCAATCTATGTTGTATAAAGCGCTGTAGAAATTAATGTGATTTGACTTGTGATATATACACACCAGTACACCACTGATTGAAATATAAAACATAAAGTGAATTTTCTTTATGATTTCAGAGAGAGGACTCCTCCGCGACCGCAAGGACAGCGGCCAGAACCAGAGAACCGTGGCGTGAGTGTCACTTTCTCTTACAAAATAAACTAGCTGCATATTCAGAATTATTGTCATTGTTACTCAATATAAGCAGGCTCATAAGCTTTTCTATTTTTTTTCTTGCTGTAAATAAAACGGATTATTGGAGGATGTTTTACTAGAAAACTCTATTTCAGTCTTTCTACGTCAAAATTGCTTGTTTAATTTAATGCCACCGTTTCTTTGTAATGTTTTGCAAAATTTACTATCAATCTCTGAGTAAAAATAGTTTCTATGCGAAAAAAAAGATAATGACCACATAGCAACACTTTAGCAACCACCCCAAGTACCCTAGCAACCACATAGCAACACCCTAGCAACCACCACAATTACCCTAGCAACGGCCCTGGGTGCCCTAGCAACCACATAGCAACACCCTAGCAACCACCCTGATTACCCTAGCAACAGCATAGCAACACCCTAGCAACCACCCCAAGCACCCTAGCAACCATCCCAAGTACATTAAATAAGTAAATTCAGACTTTTTTTCTCGCAATTCTGACTTTTTTTCTCGCAGTTCTGACTTTATTTCTCAGAATTGCACAATTTTTGAAATGTATATCCCATCAAAGCTGATAAAAGCGTTTGCAATGTGGCGTGTATCATTGCACAAGACGTTTGTGATGAAACGGTTACGTGGATGACGGCGGTTGCTTTAGTGCCTACCTGTAGATAATTCATTAGTCAAACGAGCGTCCCGCCGGGGCTTATTAAGGACAGAAGCTGGAAAGAGCTCAGCGGCGCGATGACAACATCTGACCTTTAAGATTGCATCACACTCTGCTCTCTCTCAACTCCTGAAGGTCTTGCATAAGGATTATTTACTCGATTGTAGCATGCAAATATAAAAAAAACTAGTTTTCCTCTAAATGAGAATGCAGTCATCATCTATTGGCTCTCATGTTGTTCAGACTTGTGTGTTAGTGGCACACAAACAGAGACGTTTAGCAGAATGTTCACGCTGCTCGACAGTAACCAGAACAAAAACCACCATTAAACTCTCAGACGAGAAGCTGATGCTATTCAAAGTCGTCAGATGACCCACATTTAATTGATTATTCCGGGATCAAACATGCATGTGATCATTTGGAGCTGTTCATAAACAAATCCAATTCAGAGGTG